GCCAGGGATGCAGAGGGTGTGGCTGGGGGGTGGGGGTCAGAGTGGGGGATGCTGGGGAGGGGGGTGCCAGGATGGGAATGCCAGGATGAGAGATGCTCTGGTGGTGATGCTTGGGTGGGGGATGCCTGGGGGGGGGTTTCCGGGGAGGGGGGGCCCCAGGGTGGATGCTGATGCCAGGTCTTCCCTCAGGACGGCACGCTGGTGCTGGGTGCCCCTGGCGGGTACTACTTCATGGGTGAGTCCTGCCTGCTGGGCACTGCCACCGGGGCTGGCTGCTCCTGGGGCGCACTTTTGGGTGCACCTTTGGGTGGGCATGGCAGGAGGAGGGCACCCAGGGTGAGGCACCCAAGTACGTGCCACCCGGGGTGGGTGCCCTGTCAGCGCTGGTGCCCACCACAGTGTCCCGCAGGACTCCTGTACTCGGTGGAGGTGGATGCCATCCTCACCCGCTTCCACGGCAAGTCCCTGCTGTGGCCGGCGAGCCCGGGGCTGCCCACAGAGGAACAGGTGTCCACGGACTATGAGGACGGGTACCGGGGTGAGCAGTGGGCATGGGGCAGCCCTGCCCCATAGTCAGCTCGTGCCGTGGCACAGTGGGGGTCACCGGTGCCTGTCTCCCTGCAGGGTACTCGGTGGCTGTGGGTGAATTCGATGACAATCCCAAAACCAAAGGTAAGGCTGGGGGGGCGGGGGGAATGGGTCCTGGGCACCCCTGGGCTCCAGGGTCCCCTCCCCTCCCAAGGGCTCTGGGTTGTGCCAGCTCAGGAGTCCTGTCCGTCTCTGTGCCTCCATGCCCACCCCAGTGCCGTGGTGGGGGCACTCAGGGCTCTCGTCCCCCGCAGAGTACGTGGTGGGGGTCCCCAACAAAAGCAACACGAGGGGCGAGGTGAGTGGTGCCCAGCTGCGTGGGTTTGCCTGGTGGTGGGGACACTGCTGTGGCCGGGCACCCTGGGGTGGCAGCCCAGGATGGGGACAGGGACGGGGCCTGACACTGCTCTGGGCAGGTGGAGATCTTCAGTGTGGGGGTGACCCTGCGCCAGCTGCGGGGCATCGCCAGTGAGCAGGTAACCCCCTGTCCTGTGCCAGCACCCCACGGCACCCTGCCCCACTGCCCTGCCACCCCACAGCACCCACTGCACCCAGCCCCCACGG